CAATAATCTACCTTATTTTTCTGAGATAGGGTCCATTATTGATTGAACCTGGAGCTGGGCTGGCAGCCAGCAATACCCAGTGAACATGGCCCATGTCAATAATTCCAGCACTTGAAAGACTGAGGTCAAATATGTTAGTGAGTTTGAGGGCTACATAGTGAAATCTTGTCTTAAGAAAGGAAGAAAGAAAGAAAACCTATTTAGATGGTTTTAAGAAATGAAAAACTGAAGAAAGTTCTTCCAATTGGTAAGCATGTATTTGCTGGTTGCTATCCCAATTGTTGTTTCTGGGTTTATGTGAAAACCTTAGTGGCATGTTATCCATTGGTCTTCCTGAGAGAAACCCACGTATTAGTTTGCTTTCTGTTGCTGAGATAAAACACTGACCAAAAGTAACTTTGGGAAGCCAATGATGGCACACACCTTTGATCCCAGCACTCCAGAGACAGAGGCAGGCAGATCTTGATGAGCTGGAGATCAGCCTGGTCTATATAGTGGGTTCCAGGCCAGCCACCGCATGGAGTTTATTTGGCTTACAGGTTACAGTTCATCATTGAGGGAAGCCAGGTCAAGAACTCAAGGCCAGAACTTGGAAGCAGGAAGAGAACTGCTGCTTGCTGGCTTGCTTCCCCACGCTTGCTCAGCTACCCTTTTTATACAGATCAGGTTCACAGGCCCAGAGATGGCACTGCCCATGAACCGAGTCAGTTAGCACTCAAGAAAATGCCCCACAGAAGGGGGTCACTGGGACTGCCAGCTGCCTGCCCAGCTCCAGGCTCCAAGTTCAATAATGGACCCCATCTTAAGAAAATAAGGTAGACTGTGATATTCTCTTCTGGCCTCTGTACTCGTGCTGGGATTCATGACTCCCTCCACACACGTGCATACACCACACATACACACACAGATGCAGACACGCACACACAAAACAAAAAACAAACAAACCCAAATAAATGACTATCATTCCTAGAAAATAAAAATCTAAATTTCAGTCCTCTACTGTTCACTCATTTTCAAAATAAGAGGGGCAAGAACTAGCTAACCAGAACCAAAACCAATCCCAAGGCATATACTGCTGTGCCTTAGGCCTTCTGCACAGGACACTACCAGACCACACTTCAAGGAGTCTGTTTTGTGAACTGTAAGGTGTAGGGAGCAACAGGGAGGACAGACATTACCATATCAAAGTGTCTCAACAAAATCCACTGCTTTGTACAATGAGTAGAGACTAATAAAGACAGTTGTAGGGCACTTGAAAGAATCTTCTATTTGGGAAAGACATGATCAAAAAGATTTTTTCCCCGTTAGCATCTATAATTAATGACACCCCCTCCAATCAAACTCACGGTGTCCCTAAGGCTTAGCCTTGAATTGCTGATGCTCCTGCTTCCACCTCCCAAGTACTGCAATGCTGGAATCACAGACATGTGCTCCACATCCTGTCAGAAAAATAGCTGGGCAGTGGTGGCACATGCCTTTAATCCCAGCACTAAGGAGGCAGAGGCACGTGGATCTCTGTGAGTTTGAGGCCATCCTGGTCTACAGAACAAGTTCCAGAACAGGCTCCAAAGCTACAGAGAAAACCTGACTCAAAAAACTGAAGGAGGAAAAACCCACCTTATTTACAATGACTTCAGCAGATTTGCCAGGGGCCTCCACTCAGACGACCTGATGCATTTGTGAAAACCCAGTTTATTTGTTCAAAACCTCAGTGTTTGGGGTATCTATGAGCAAAAGCACAGGTACAGAAGTAACCCCAGAGCCTAGTGGGAGAAGTACTTCTTGGCTTATGATTACCAGGGTCAGAGAACTTCTAGTTATCCCTTAACCTTAATTGGTGTGACAACCATCCTGGCTGCCAAGGTCAAAGATTGCTATTATACCAGACGAATAGTCTTGTTAACTCACTTCCTTTCAAATGAACCTCAAGAAAGCAATCAGTGAGAAGAGGCTGTGCCACTGAAAACACTTTCCAGGGTTAGCTCTGATAGGGCCTTTGCATCTTTCCCAACTGCTGCTGTTTTTCCAAATATATTTATATATAAATAATATATAAATCAAAATATATAAAATTTTCTTGGCCTTTTCTTTAGGGGTGGCTAAGGGATGGAGCATGTACTGCTCTTGAAAAGAACCTGAGTTCAGTTTCAGTAGCTCACAACCAACTCCAGATCCAGGGATCCGATACCCTCTTGTGGCCTCTGAAAGCACCTGCATTCACACACCCACCCTCCCCCACATAATTAAAAATAGAAATCTTCTAAAGTTATTTAAAATTTTATTTGGACGCATGAGTGTTTTTGCTTCCCTGTATGCATGTGCAGCACATATATGCCTGGTGCCTGCAAAATCAGAAGAGGGTGTCAGATCCCTTGAAAGTGGAATTAGTGGAAAGTGGAAAGTGAACCACCTCCTGGGAAACAAACCAGGATCCTCTCTGGGATGCCCCAAATTGTTATTTACTCTGTGTGTGGGAGCTCATATAGGCCATGTCACTTTTGTGGAGGCCAGAGGGTAACTTGCAGAGGTTGTTTCTCTCCTTCCATCATGTGGGTGCCTGAGTCATGACTCAGGTCATCAGATGGAGGTATGTCCTTTTCCTTCTGAGTCAACACACACACACACACACACACACTCTTTTTTGTTTTTGTTTTTTTTTGTTGTTGTTGTTTTTCGAGACAGGGTTTCTCTGTGTAGCTTTGGAGTCTATCCTGGCACTTGCTCTGGAGACCGGGCTGGCCTGAAACTCACAGAGATCTGCCTGCCTCTGGCTCCCGAGTGCTGAGATTAAAGGCATGCGCCACCAATGCCTGGCCTTTTTTTTTTTTTTTTTTTACACACACACACACTTTCTAAAAAGCTGTCTAGAAGACACAGATTGTAATTCAACATATTCCAGAAGAATGAAATTGACTTTCAATGGGTGTTGTATGGGTAAACCAGCAGTCTTCAGGAGTATGTGTATCCCATGCAAGACCACAAAGTGTGCACGCTCTTTAAAATAAGATAGGCATTTTGTTTTTCCAGTGTTAAGACTTGTGTTCACATAGAGTATCATTACTACTTCTCAGAATGGATTTTCCTCAGATCTAAGCATCACTGCCTAGAAAAGAAGCAATGAGGGAGGAAGCCTAATTAATTACTCAGAAGACATTTCCAGTTTAAGGGCATTCCACCCCCTTCCCCAAAGGGCTTAGCTGGCTAAGAGTATTACAAAGAGATGTCTGCAGTGACAGTTTTAATCATCTTAAAGGCCTGTTTACTTCAGTGCCATATTGTCTTCGGTGCTGTAAATTCACCTCTTTCAAGTATGTGTTTCTGAATGAACGTGGGCCAGATGAGGAGAAAGCAAAGCGTCACTTGGAAGCATGCTGCCAAAAGGAAAAAGGGGAACCCAGAACTCGCAGATCTATCATTTGGCCTTCTCATTCATTCCTTCTGCATAGCGGGTGCTCATGTATCAGAAAGCAACTGAAGCCCCCACCCAGGAGTTTGGTGTGCTAACTTCAGTTAATGATGCAAGTCCTAGAAATGAGTCATGCAAAGAGAAAAAACAAACCCAGCCTAGGAAAGTTATTAGGAGCATATGGAGTAAGGGGCGAAGGAGAGGGAAAGGGGGGGGGGGGGGGGGGGGGGGGGGCAACATCCTCTGTGACAACACCAGCGAATGTGTAGAAAATTAATGCAAATTAAAAGAGCAACACAAGGGGTTGGAGAGTTTGTTCAGCAGTTACGAGCACTGGATGGTCTTCCAAAAGACCCAGGTTTGATCCCCAGCACAACCGTTGGTGGTTAACAACCCTTTGTTACTCGGGTCCCAGGGGGTCTGATGCTATATACCCTCAGGCACTGGGCATGCAAGTGGTACACAATAAGTAAATGTAGACAAAACACCCATACACACAGAAAAAAAGAAATCAAACACCAATATGATTTGTGAATGCTATCCCAGGATAGGTGGTTTTGCAGAGCTATTCTAAGCTGGGGGGATGGGGGGCATACAGTTTTGCTTCTGGCTGGGCAAACTACCATACCCCAACAAGACCAGAATAAATAAACCTTGACAGGCTCTGGCTGAAATCTTACGGTGCCAGGATACTATTGCAGAGGGGTCCACTCTCTAATGAGCTGACTCTGATACTCGGGGAACTGCTAGTAACTTGTGACAATTCACACTTGTAAGATTTTAAGAAATTATTTTTATTTTGTGTGTATTGGTGTTTTACCTGCATGTATGTGTGTGAGGGTGTAAGATCCCCTGGACCTGCAGTTAGACAGTTGTTGTGTGGTTGCTGGGAACTGAACCCAGATCCTCTGGAAGAACAGCCAGTGCTCTTAACTGCTGAGCCATCTCTCCAGTCCCTTCTCACTGTAAGATTTACTCCCCAGCAAACTATGTTGATATCTCTGTTGGATCATCAGCATGAGTCCCCTGGAGGTATCTCACCCAGTAAGAGCAAAACCAGAGTGGTGTGGCATTTAAACACCACCTCATGACCTACACAGAGGAATTATCCATAAAAAAGCCCCTATTTTTTAAAAGAACAAGATGGCTCACAGGGTAAGTTTGTCACCAAGCCTGATGACTTGAGTTTAATCCTCAGAAACTACATAGCAAGAGAGAACTAACACCTGTACACACCCTGGAATGCATGAACATGCCCACACAAACACAATAAATGTAAAGAAAAAGAAAGGAAAAGCAAGTTAAGTGGAGTTCTCTACAGAACTCTATCGTCTTTACTCTTTCTTTCCAAGGCCTCATCCATAGCTAAGTGCTTTGTTCCTGTGCATCACACTGGGCCCAAAGTGAATTGTTTTAAAAATAAGTACATTATATGATATATGAAGTCCCTTGTAAATCTCCACAGCTGAAGTGCAAGCCAGACCCAGAAAAACAACCCTTTGTAAATCAGCAACACACCATCGCCACCTTGTGTCAAAGATTGTTCATTACACTCCAGATCTTCAGGCCAAGGACCACACTTGGGACTCTGACCAGTTCTTACAGAATATAGCTTTATTTATAGAATCTTACAAATAAAACATTTACAGTCTACATAAGTTATTTAAGTTTCTATTTCTTCTCATAACACCTGAGTTATTTAAAAAAATACTGTGATGGAACTGTAAAGGGAACTATGAATAAAATCCTCTCTTTTTTGCAAAGCAAAACAAATCACCCAGCTTATCTGCATCTCTTTGGAAGAGGGTTCACTAAAACTGGATCCTAGGCAATCCAGAGAAGTCCTTTAAAACCCAGAGTGAAGAGTTACTGAAGAATGCTCCCCCTGCTGACACCAGACACTAAATATTGGGGGGGTGGGGAGGGGTGACAAAATAGGTGAGGTCATGGATGAGGTGTGAAGTGACAGAACCCAATCCCTGGCTTAGGGCTCCTCTGTCAGTGTGACAAGTACTTTCCTTGCTAGTGTTAGCAGGAGGAAGAAAGCTACAGGCAATATGGCGCGGGGTGGGGAGACTGACTGCTAAACTTGCCGCCCCTTGGACTTCTAGTATGTACAAATGCTTAAAACAGCAAGTTCAAAAAGAATTCAGCGGCCACAATTTCAACCCCCTGTACAAATCTGCTGCCAACAACAGATAATCAGTTGGACTGGAGCACCCGCCCCTACACACACACACACACACACACACACACACACACACACTTGCCACCTGAGTCCAGGGTTTCCCTTTAAAGGAAGCTGTCTGCACAAGAAAGTTCTTGGTTCCTGTGAAGTGTGCATGGCAAACACTCTAACCTCATGTTTAAGATTCTATTTTTAAGTTCTTCTAAACAAACTAAACCACTGTCCTTCAGCATGAAAGCATTTAAGGAATAATAGCATCTAGAAGGGACTTTAAAATTAAAATACACAAACATGAACTAAGCAAAGCAGAATCTTTTGTCTTTTTGGGGGGGTGTGGTGTTGCTGGGAATAAAATTCAGGGTGTCACACACACACACACTAGGCAAAAGATCTGCCACTGAGCCACACCCTCAGCCTACACATAAATTAGTATTAAGTTGTATGTTTTTATCTTTCTTTTGTCTTGCTGACACAGGATCTCACTACGTAGCCCAGACTGGTCTGCAATTCACTATGAAGCCCAGGTTGGTGCATAAATTGAGCCTCTGGATGACTCTGCCTGCTAAGTGCTGAGATTACATGTGTGAGCCACCACGCCCTGCTCAGCCTTGGACTCTGAGTGTCAATTTCTGCTAGCTCTGGAAGCAGTTGTTGGAAAAATAAGACAGAAAAGTCAAACAGTAACAACAATAACATAAAATATTGGATTCTGAGATTGAAGAATTGGTTCTTTGGTAAAACTGGACCCTAATCCTATCAGGACTTGGTCCTGACATTCAATCTAGAACCTTGACTGCTGGAGTTTCCTCTTCCTCCTTGCCTCTTCTCAAACCCAGCCAAGGCAAGAGGTAAGAGCGAGAGAGAAACCGAGTAAATCTCTATGTTTCTCCAGTTGGGTTGTCAGGATTCCTGGTTTCAAGCATGTTTCCCCCAAAAGAATGAACATATATATGTTATATATATATGTTTCACATGTGCCACATGTATATATATATATATATATATATATATATATATATGTGCTGCTTTTAATGGACAGTTTTCCTGTGGTAAAAACAGAAAGACTCAGGTGTTGGCAATGAACCAGTACTGTCAGTCATGCAAACAATGGCCCCTGGGCTGTGACTGTGGGCACCACTAAGAAAGGCTCCGGGAGAGACTGGCTCCCCAAAGTGGCTAAGGAATCCACATTATCAATATGATAATAATAAATTAATTCACTTAGTGAACCTGGAGATTAGCTCCCCTGGAAGCCAGAGTTCTGAGGAGAGGGCTCCACAGTGTCTGAGACTGGCCTGTGGTGTGAAATGACAAGCATAACCATCCGTTTTCCTGAAGCAAAGAAAACAATTTACACTCAAATCAATTCAGGATTCAATCTTGTTGTCTGGGGCCAGGGAGGAAGTGGTAGCTAGATTCTGTGACCTTTAAAACCCACTGGCAGTAATGACATCTGTATCCCTGACCTGAAGGTTTGACCTCAAGGTCCAGAGTCCCTTGGTATTCACCTATTATTTCTGCAATTAGCAAGTCCTAAGATTGGTCAGCACTGACTCCGTTTCTGATTACCTTTGTCACAATAAGGCATAAACAACTATGTCCCGATTCTGAATCAGGTTCTATCGACAGAAGTCTAGACCAGGGGAGATTAATTTGTGCAATTTCCCCTCTAATGCAAAATCTTAAATGTGCTCAAAGTGAGGCATCTAAAAGTATCTAGAAAAAGGAAGCCAAGAGGAGGTGTGTGTGAAAATCAGGGCAAAACGAATTGATTTAGCGCAGATCTCTTGCTACTCCAAAGAATGTCCACAGTGGCTCACCTGGCTGATTCTGTGACACAGATGCTGCACAGCCAGCACCCAGCATCCTAGTGGAGACCAGAGAGCACCAAGGAGGCAGGACATCTACCTCGAGTTCTAATTCCTTGTCACCCAGGGTGACCTCCTGCCTCAACTGCTCAGAATGCCAGTCTCTTTCAGAGAACTGTTAACTGAACAAACTGGGAGAAAAAAAAAAGGGGGGGGATTCTTATCTTCTGTCTTTTCTTTGTAAAAACAGGAGAACTCATGTCAAGATGGAGTGACCCGAAGTCCAGGGCACACACATTCAGAATCACAGGCCCCAAAGCCCAGGCCTGATATTTTTAACCAAACCATGACCACTGGCTTCATTTTTACATTGTAAAAGATGCAACATCTCTCAGTGCTTCCTCCGAGAGAAAAAGACAGATGAAGGTGACCAGAAGGAAAAGGGAGGTGTGTCCTACACGAGGGAGGCATTTCAGTTCCAGAATCACCTATGGAAAAGGTTGGGAGACGGTTTGAGGCACTACCTAGAGAGTCCCAGGGCAGGTTCTTCCTAGGACAGAAACGTTTTGAAACAGCTGACATCTGAATGTGGGCAGGCAGTCGGCGCCAGTTTGTAAAGAACTGCCTCTGCCACGATGCTTCATGGATGCTGAGTCCTCAGGCCAGGGGTTTAAGGCCCAGAGTCTGACGTGCAATGCCACTGGCTTCCCGCTGGCAGGGTCCTACCCAATCTGAATCTGTCCTGAATACATTGTGAGGACTAGCATGATGGAGAAGCCAGTCAGGAGGCCAAGATTCTGGATGACAAAGGGGACCAAGAAGCTGTTCTTCCTTTCGTCCTCTTGGCAGACCTCATTCATCTCTGGGAACTGAGAAAGGAGAGAAAAATCTGAGAGTTACAGTTTCCATTATCATCTTACCAACTGTGGTGACTGGGATAAGTTATCATTTGAATCCACCCCCACTCCCACCCCACCCCCATTTCTGGTGGCGGTGTTTTGGAGGTTCTGGTGACTTCTCTGGAGGAAGTAAGTCATTGGGGATACTATCTTTAGCTATTCCCTGTAGTTATCAACAATATGGCTGCCGGAAACAAGACCTTAACAATGCCAACACCAACTGCCGTGTCAGCGTGGATTGGAGGAAACCTCACCAAGCCCCACCCATAGATGAAGAGTTATAGATGATGACTACTCAGAGGGAGAATCAGACTTCTCCAGGGATGAGCCCTCTAGTTGAATAGCCAATACACATAATACATATAAGCAACACTAAATGGACTCAGCAGTTTGTATGTGTTTGTGTGTATGATATATATATATTTGGAGAAAAAGAGGCTATGAATTTGAGAGGGGGCCCTGGAGTGGTGATGACACAGGAGGAGCTGGAGGGAGAAGGACAAATGATGTAAATACAGCACTCATATATGAAATTCTCAAAAAATATTAAAACTTTATAAAAAAGATATAATCACCATTATTTGTGACAGACAGTAATGTTCTTTCTCTTTCACTCTTTTCTTTTTACACCTCTTCCAACAAATTTAAATATGGACCCTGGACTGATTACAGTCAATTTTCCTTAATGACACAGTAACAGAGGGAACCAAAGTTCTCCCTTTAAAATCCAATCACTTGGACTGGAGAGACGGTTCAGTGGTTAAGAGCACTGGCTGTTCTTCCAGAAGTCCTGAGTTCAATTTCCAGCAACCACATGGTGGTTCACAACCATCTCTAGTGGGATTTGATGCCCTCTTCTGGCATAAAGGCATAATGCAGATAGAGCACTCAAATACATAAAATAAATTAATAAAACAAACAAACAAACAAAAACAATGATTCATTGGGATAGCAGTTGCTCCTGTATGCCCAGCACTTGGGAAGTTGAGGCAGACTGCAATGACTTCAAGGCCAGTCTGGGCTAAAAAGCAAGCCTCTTGTCTCAACAAACATAGACAGAAAACCCTAATACTGCCTTGAAAATGCTGATTCTATCTTTTTAGAATTTTGAAATATTATTTGCTATGTATAGGCATTTTGCCTGCAAGTATGTTTGTGGACCACATGGGTGCCTGTGCCCTTGCAGGACAGAAGAGGTTGGATCCCCTGGAACTGTAGCTATAGATGGCTTTAAGTCACTATGTGGGTGCTGGGAATCAAACCTGGGTTCCCTTCAAGAGCAGCCAGTGCTCTTAACAGCAGAGCCAGCTCTCTAGCCCTGAACTGTTACATCACTGAGTTAGTGAATGGTGTGGCATGGGAAAGAGACCTCAATAAAGCTGTTATTAAAGCAAAATCATGGCTGGCAAGATGGTTCAGTGTGAAAGAGTACTTGCTGCCAAGACTGAGGACCTGAGTTCCATGTCAGGAGCCCGTAAGATAAAGAAAAACAGCCCCCAAAAGCTTGTCTTCCACAAGAATGAACTCTCACCCATACAAAAATCAATGTAAAAAGAATTAAAAAACAAACATTCTAATTTGTGTCCTTTCCCTCCTACTCGAGGGTCAATCATAAGCCCTGGCACACTTACCATATCAGCTAGAGCAATATACAAGAACATTCCTCCAGCCAGCGCAAAAATCCAGTTGGCCGAGAAGTGACTTCCAGCCAGGATACCAAACGCCAGGCCCACATAGCAGCAGCAAGCAGAAAGGAAGTTGAAGAAGAGAGCCTGCTGGATGCTCATACCAGCATTGAGCAGGATAACAAAGTCTCCTACAATGGGAAAAGGAAGGGATGAGTCAGGGCACAGGACTACTAATAAATCAGACTCTTCAACAGTGGATGAAGTGTGGGTCCTGGAATGAAGGCACCTATATCTTCCAACTATGACTCTGGCTTCCCAGCACAGGGCCTGAAAAGGATTCACAGGGTTTTGAAAGTACATAAATAACCAGCAGTGGCCTCATTGCTCCCCACCTAGAGGACAGAAATAATTCGCAAGATTTTAAAAGTAGATGGCCAACTAGCAACGGCCTCATTTCTCTTTGGATTGAAATAAAAATAGCTCCCTTTCTCCCAAGATGGTACATTCAGGAAACAAAACTGAGAGAGGAAGAAATTAGTCACCAGCCAGCAAATGCCAAAGTTAGGACCCTGGGCTGTTGCTGAGTCTTGAGTCCTGGCTTCTTACTTTTCCTTAGTAAAACTATATACATCCTTAAGCTCTGGTTTTTCTACCTTCTTCACCTGCCACCACACTTTAGCAGACTCCCAGCTTCTGCAGGATGAAAAGGATGTCAGAGATGACCGTCTTCACGGAGTATCCAGACTAGTGTATGGCACCTGCTAAGTCCAGCACTTGTTTGCTTACAATCCCCTTGGTGATTCTAAAAAGCAGGCGCAGTTATTAAAACCACACAGGCGAGAAGATTGAGCCACAGTATATGGGGCTCATGGGATAAAAGTCTTCCTGTAAAAACCTTCACCATTCTAAGCTACACTCTACTCAACTGTTTTATTTGGGAAGTTAGACGGAACAAAAACTGAGACAGCTGGCCCAGAGGGACAGGCGATGTGACTCACCCAGCTCGTGTGGGAATTCCTCACAGAGAATGGCCACTGACGTGCTGATGCCTTGGAAAACAGACACGGTGAAGGAGGCACCGATAGCCAGGCCATCAATGAAATTGTGCAGACCGTCGCTCAGGGTGATCATCCAGGCCAGGGTACCAATATCAGAGTATCGGACCCCTTTGAGCCAGTAGCAAGCACTCTGGGATGCCTGCAGGTCCTAGGAGAAAGCATATCCCAGCCGATCTGAGATTACAGGGTGACTCCGGTAAGCCTGACTCACTCGGGCCACGGCTTCCTAGAGGCTCCCCTAGGATTTGGTGGCTACTGACCTGCACAGACATTGAGCCGACGATGACCTTCTCGTCCGTGCCAGCTGCCTTGCCATCCAGCTCACTGTTGCAGTGCTGAGGGATCATGTGGTCCAGGTCCCCATTCTGTAGCTTCTCTGTCACACCCTCCTCCTGGTCCTTCTTGGAAGGGAGCGTGTTGGAGGTAAAATGGTTGTGTCCGTGATGGTGCTAGAGATTGAAAAAGGATCAGTGTTATTGACCAAAACCACCAGCCCAACCACGATACCCTCTGGGAGAAAGGGTGCTTATGCCTCGGAAGATCTTATTCCTACATCCAAGGAAGCTAAGGAGGCCACACACAGCGATAGGGGGAACATATTAGTGGCAACACACATGAAGACAAGGACTTCCTAACGGACAAAGAAGTAGTCTCCCAATGTCACTGGATCCAGTACTTAGATTCCTCTTTCAAGACGGCTACTTCATTCAACTCTAACAGGCAGTGGCTCCATGCCATGTATTGGAGACCTCTTATTGGAGCTACACTAGTCAACGCTGTTCCTGGATGTCTGTCACCAAGCCTCTTTACTGTCTTTTATAGAGAGACTGCGGGGCTTGCCCTGCAAGTGCCTTCACACACTGCCGGCCCACGCCAGCACTGTTTGAAGGCAGAGGTTTCCCCTATATAGTCCATTGCTGCCCCCAGGCCTCACCTCGTTTTTCTGTTTCAGGAGCATCTTCAGTATCTTCTCTGTAAAAAAGAAAAGGTAGAAGCCTCCAAACACCACTGCAGACTTGGAGACATAATTGTCCTGAGGGTTGAAACCAAAGGCCTGTGGGCACAGGAAAAAAGAGTGAGTTTAAGTAAACAAGCCTTCATCACTCCCTGTTACTTGCTTACCAATCTCTCCACTCTAGGAAAGAGGCGGCCTGGGGAGCTCTGCTGTCTGCACATTCTCTTGCCAGCAAAAACCTACCCTTGGCATTTCCCTGATCTGCCAGCACTAGCTGGGTGGGTTGGGGTATTCTCTTCTGATACAAAATACAGACCAGCTTTAGAATTTCCTGACCCTGGGGTTCGGAGCCAGGACATTATGCGTGCTAAGGTGTACCTCTGTGCCACTAAGCTATCTCTCCAGCCCATATTTATGATAGAAATCATATATATCACATATACATGATAGAAATCATATATATCAGATATATATGATATATACAATTAGGTTATATGTATGTGTCTGTGTTTGATTGCAAATGTACATATGAGGGGGCCAGAAGAGGGCATCAGGTCACCTGAGTCTATAGCTGTAGGCAGCTGTGAGTCATATATTTGCTGGGAACCAAACTCTGGTCCTCTGAAGAGCAGCAAGCATTCTTAACTGCTGAGCCATCTCTCTAGCCTTGAGCTGGAGAAAAGACACTGCAGGTGGTGTTCTACTTTATTTGTTTGTCTGCTGTTGGTGGTGGTCTCTTTTTGAGATGGTATCTCATTCCATAGTCCAGGCTAGCCTCAAACTCACATCTATCTCCTACCTCAGGCTCCTAAGTGCTGATTATAGGCATGTGCTACCATGCCTAGCTTGACTGGCCTCCTAACTTCCTTCCTTCCTTCCTTCCTTCCTTCCTTCCTTCCTTCCTTCCTTCCTTCCTTCCTTCTTCCCTTCCTTCCTTCCTTCCTTCCTTCCTTCCTTCCTTCCTTTCTTCCTTCCTTCCTTCCTTCCTTTCTTCCTTCCTTCCTTCCTTCCTTTCCGACTTGGTGTTACTATATAGACCAAGCTGACCCAGACTCAGACAGCAGCCTGCCCCAGTGCTGGGGATTGGAGACAGCTTTTCTCTTTTAATGAGAATACTGCCTTAATTTCTGTCAGTACTTAGCTACACAAGCACTCAGCCATCAAATTCCACATTTAAAGGAAGGCCACTTGCATTTATTTTTGCCTCACCCAGAGTCCCTGGTTGGTCTGCCCATAAACACAATGGGAAGTGGTTTAGTTATGATTGCTAAAAAGGGAAACCCATTCCAGTTCCACAGCAAGAACTGCAGCATTTTCCTGACCACAGAACCTTGAAAGGATCACAAACCAAAAAAGCAGGCTACATCCCTGCAGGCATCAATCTTGGGGTGGTTTAAAGCCAGCCCTAGTTACACATGCCTGCAGTTTCCCCAGCTCAGGATGAGGTGGGAGGACCCAGAGCCCAGGAATGTGGGGCCAGCCTGACCAACAAAGAGTCCATCTCTTTAGAACATAAAAAATAAAAATTAAAAATAAAAAAAAACGTGAAAAGAATGGAGTGGAGGGTATGTTTCTCTGAGTTCCTTCTGGAAACTTTAACTTATTAAATAAGGAAGGAAAATGGGGATTCGTTGACACAGAGGATAGGACTAGCCAGAGACCCGCCCTAATTCGGCTCCTGGTTTATGGCGTCCAGTGTCCAGTGTCCTGTTGTCCCTTCTCTAACAGAGAACGAGCTTGTAGAAACTCCATTCCCAGCACTCAGGAGGCTGATGCAGAAAGGCAGGGCATTTGAGATCATGGAGTGAGTCTGCCTCAAAAAATAAACTCCAGCTAGGCGGTGGTGGCACACACCTTTAATTCCAGCACTTGGGAGGCAGAGGCAGGCGGATCTCTGAGTGTCAGGCCAGTCTGGTCTAGAGTTAGTTCCAGAACAGCCAGGACTGTTACACAGAGAAACCCTGTCTCAAAAAACCAAAATTAATTAATTAAATTAAAGACAAAATTTAAAAACCCTCCAGTTCTCTCTGGAACAGGATTGACAGAAGCTGATCCTCCTGAAGGGGAACCCCACAGCCTCCAAAGGCAAGTGCTTTTCCTCAGGGTGTTCAGAGCACTGCTCTAGCATAGTCCTTTGGAGTCATCTGCTAAGAGACCTGGAGGGCAAATGCTAAAGAAGCCCTGCTTTAGGTGAGCTCTCCTGGAGAAGAGATGCACCCTGGGAAAAAAGCCAGGAGGTGAGGTGGGACTCAAGGCCTCAGGACCCATCAGGCCCTGGGCTTGGGGCAGTGGCCTCTCCTGCAGGTCAGGCTCTGTGGTAAAACATGACTAGGATGACAGCTGCCACAGCTGCTCCACTAAGAAAACAAAGCAATACTGTGGAAGAAGGTGTTCTCAGCAGCATGTGAAAGCATCTCTTGCCTTTGCTCAGGCCTGTCAGACCACCTACAATGAAATACCTTGTGCTTATTATAATTATCAGGTTTACTGAAGATACCTCACTAAGTCAGATGGAATGTCTCCGAAGCTGACTACCCAGGCTTCAAAACATTGGCTCCCTTCTCTTCTGTGGAAGATCACCCACATGGAGGTGCCACAGATGATGTTTCCTTTGGATTTCCTCTGCCCTCAAACTCCCTACCAAAGAGAACTGGGTTTTCACGGAGACCTGTGGATTCTGTTGTGTTTTTGGTTCTCTGAACTGAAGGCCCACACTGAGCCAGAGCTACATTAGCTTGTTTTTCTTTTTTATTAAAAAGATAAGTATTTTATGTATGAGTGTTTTGTCTGTGTGTATATATGTGCACCACAAGTGTGCTTGCAGAGGCCAGAAGAGGGCATTGAATCCTCTGGAACTGGAATTACAGTTTATAAGCTCTGTGTGGGTGCTGGGAATCAAACCACAACAGCCAGTGGTCTTAACCACTGAGCCACCTCTCCAGTCCCAGGTTACACTGGCTTTTCACTCAGCAGTTCCAGCACTTTGGAGGCACTCATGTGCCTTTGTTGTCAATCCTATTGTCTGCCATTTTATAAAAAGAAGAAGAATCTGGAGATGGGAAAGATGGGATTTCAACCTAGCTCTTAAACCTCTCCTAGTTCCTGCCTTGGTCCTAGCTTTACTTTCCAAACAGAAAATACCTTGGGAGTAGTTCTTATGCCTTGCACGTAAACAGAGGGGCCTCCCCCTGTGCCTACTAGGAAATGGGGAGCTTTGGGGTGAATGCTGCAGCTTGCCATACCTCGGGGATGAGCTGGAAGAGGGCGTTGGAGTAGAGGGTTCCAATCGCCAAGGCTATGAAGTAGAGCAGCAGCCTCTTGTAAAAAGTCTTCTTCATGAAGGGCACCACGCTGGCCCCCATGAGGGAGCAGAGGGAGATGACGGTAACACAGAGGAGACCGTACCCCCATACTGCCAGCCCACCCAGGACAGGGAGCAAGGCAACCACCGTTAGGGAAAGGAGGTGGAGAGGAGAGTTGTGGGTATTAACGAAGGAACCCAAAAGAAAAACCAGAGACAAGTAGGGAGGGAGAGAGAAATAGGAAACTTGTTAGTGATTCGAGTCAGAGGCAATTTCTTTCAATCAGTGCAGGAAGGTATGAGGAGGAATTTGAGGTGGCCTTGGAACCCTGTGACTACTGCCCTTCCTCCTGAGGTGGCCTGGGTCATACCAGCCGGCTGGTGTGACTGGCAAACAGGGCAGGATGCTGCCTCATCACACACACCATGTGCTCTGGGCCAGCAGACTTTGCACTCAAGTCTTTTAACAGGACACCAAAGCAAATGCAAAGAAAAGTTTGGTGTGTCACTGGCTTTGCTTCTGCATATTTAAGCCATGTCATGGAGGCAAATGTGACACTACCCAAGGATGGTTTGGTTTGTGCAAGATACAACAAAGTCATGTACAGGGCAGAACAGGTAAGACTTGATGCCCATCAGATTTGGTTTCTAAGCAGTTGGGTTTGTTTGTTCCTATTTACTCTGAGAGGGACTTGGTGTAGAAAGCAGAGTTCCAAGACCAACTCACCCTAAAAAAATTATTTCAAATGCACTTTCCAGGGTGACACACTCTGGGTTGTGAGCACAGCCCTCAGGAGGGGGCAGCACAAAACTGTGCCACGATGGCAACCCTTGTGTGACCCCAAGGGCGAAACATGGGCAATGGCAGTAGTACCAGCCAAACGGGCGACGAAACATTTCATTTCAAATCTCTAAAAAAATTAGTAAATTCAATGGCTGGAGCTGAAAAAATAGCCCAAGATGAGGTCTCCCTTAGGAATTTTGAAACTGTTAAGGGAGCTGACCTTAACCCTGTTCTTCCCTCATGATTAAGGAGGAAGTGGGTGGGGCACGGCAACTCCTATGGAAGCTTGCCTAGGTCAGCCTCTTGGCTGACGGGAGCTTCAAAGCCAGTGACATGAGCTTTTATGGAAGCTGTCACATCACCAAAGGGGTCAGCCAGGTAGCTGCACACTATTTCTCCAACAGTAGCATGTGACTGGGCTGAAAATGTGGGCAGACTGTCAACTTGGGCCTTATTTTTGTAGCTCCTCAGTGATGACGATTAAAAAACAAAATTACTGAACACTTCCTTCAGTGGGATGAGGTACCAGGAAGTCAGACCTGTCAGGGAAAGATCGAGATGCAAGGTACCAACAATTGAGCTTCTCTTTCATGCACTGCATTTGTTGCTTTGTTTGTTTGTTTGTTTTGGTGGGAACAACATATTTGCTAAGTTGCCCAAAAGCTGTGATTTCTCCCTACCTCAAATTTCCAAGTGCTGCCCTGCAGGCACGAGCTGCCACAGCTACCTTAATTACAAATCAGGCTCACGCTTTTGAGGCCAGTTCTACACAGAGCCACTGTCACCTTCCTTCCTTCCTTCCTCCCTTCTGCCTCATTCCTCACTGCTGACCAACTGGAGCCCACACCTGAGCACCCCCAGGAGTTCCCTTTGAATACAGGGACTGCCTTGGACACCACACCAGGAAACTGCAACTTTCCTTTGGATTCCCATAAATGGGGCCCTGCAATGCGGCCAAAAGAGAACCCCAAGAGGGGGGCTCACATGTTAAGAACCTTGCATCTGATGTTGCCTGAAGAAGCCAGAGGCCAACCTTAGTGAACAGAGGCATGAGAGAAGTTATTGGACCCCCTGATATGAAGAGTCAATTCACTTTTGGGGCGGCAGTTATTGGGAGCCTTAGAGTAGAGAGGGAGAATGTCAGCTGGAGGAGGACCTGGCCGGGGCAGCCCAGGAGAAGTGAACGCGCGCCTGTTCTACTGCACCTCTGGGATGAGCTGGAAGAGTGCGTTAGAGAGCAGCGTTCCAATGGACAGGGCGATGAAGTAAGTGAGCACACGGCTGAAAAACGCTTTCTCCGTGCATGGCAGGACCAGGGCTCCCAGGAGAGAGGCCAGGTTAATCAGTGAGACACTGAGGAAACCAAAGCCCCACACTGTGGAGGAACAAGAACAGATGAGGGCCTCCATTACTGAGGGCGGGCACTTGTGCTGCTGAGAGCCATCTAAGCACATAGAGATCCAGCAGCCCCTCAGGAAATGTTTGGTGACTCCCATCTCTTGCTAGGGAAGGCTCATTAAAAACGATGTCCAGGTTGCTGTCGGAGCAGCTCACCTTCTAGAGGAAGAAACTGGGGACTCAACATGGTGGAGCGAACACCATGGGTTGGACAGTACATGTACTTGTGATGGCAACACGTTAGGTCTGGTAGCTCTTGCTGGCTATACAGGATTTCAGAAAGGCACTCGGGGACTCAGGTTGGGTGAATCCACTCTAGCTAGAGGGGTAGTACTAGGAGTTGGGATAATGAAGTAGCCAAGGGAGGTCATAAAGGTTGGCACTCTTACAGTCCAATGAAAACAAAGAGTGGAAAACATATTCACATGTTGGCCACAGCTCAATGTCCTGTGTTCACCAGCCAGCCCACCCAGGGTCTGGTGATGTGGAACATGTCACATGTAGATTATGGTGCACATGTCAATTATCACCGTCTGCCATCGCTCCATGCCCCCTCCGCTCCTTACTTACCTTCGATGGCACTAGGCTTCCCCTCCTCGGTCTGCTCATTTTCTTCATTCTCCTGGTTTTCTGAGGTGCAAGCCCGGGAATCCAACTGCTGGAGGATGGTGGGGCAGAACTCTCGAAACTCACTCACCCCGATCTGAGATCGCTCGCTGAAATTGTGGGCAGCAAAGAGGTCTCCAGAGCTAAAGCACTGAAACCAGAGGAGGGGTAGAAGGGCTCTTAGACTCTAAAAGTCGTGCCCTGCCCCGCTAAGTGGCAGCGCACTCGACCCTCTGAGAAATATAGAGAAAACGAACACAGCCAAATGGCAGCGACTCTGGAGACTCATCTCCAGGGACAAGAGAAAGGAAATCCCCACACTTGAAAAGGTCAGCTACCATCATGGCGAATGCTTAGTACGCACAACTGTTAAATGGCTGCAGGAAGAGGTTTGGGACCTTAACCTCAGCTACTTGGGTGGCTGAGGCAGGAAAACTGCAGCTTCAAAGGACGTCGGGGCCACAAAGCAAATTCAAATTCAGCCTGAGAGGCTCAGCATGACCCTGGCTCCAAGTGAAGAGAGAATACAGTAAAAAGAGTGCTGGCTGATATAATTCGGGCGTAGCATGCCTGTCTACTACGCACCTGGAAGGTCTATGTCCAACCCTACTGGGGATGGGGTGGCAGTGGAGGACAAGATTCCAATCCTGTGGCCAGGGTGTGGTTTCAGAAAAACAGGATTCTATCTGCAAACCTGGTATCAAATTTGGCTGCACATCACAACAGCCCAGGGAACTTAATCTCCTAAAATGCTGATCCTAGAAACTTCTACTGGAATATGGATGTGTGCTGGTTAGCAGACATAGGCACCCATCGTCGTGATCTTGGGGAATTTTGCTAAGATGGGAAATTGAATTTGAGGTCTCCCCCACTCCCTCTCTGTGTGCGTGCGTGCACACATGTGATGTATACACATGTTCATGAGGCCAGGAGAGGACAGTGGGTGTCTGGTTCTACTAGTCTCCCTACCTTATTCCCTTGAGACCCTTATTCCCTTGAGACAGTGTCTCTCATTGAACCTGGAGCTAGGTTGGCAGCTGGTGAAATACAGCACTGGACTATAGATATGCAGGGCTACCTATCCTTTCACTTGGGTTCTTGGCATTCAAACTTGGGTCCTCAAGCTTTCTTCCTTCCTTCCTTCCTTCCTTCCTTCCTTCCTTCCTTCCTTCCTTCCTTCCTTCCTTCCTTCCTTCCTTTTAAGATTTATTTATTATGTATATAGTTGTCTGCCTGCATGTCAGCCTGCAAGCCAGAAGAGGGCACCAGATCTCATTACAGATGGTGGTGAGCCACCATGTGGATGCTGGGAATTGAACTCAGGACCTCTGGAAGAGCAGCCAGTGCTCTTAACCTCTGAGCCATTTCTCTAGCCTAGTTCTCAAGCTTTCAAAGCAAGGGCTCTTACCACTGAAACACCTCCCTAGCCCACATTGCCATTTTTCTAATTGTTCGTCATTCACATAAACCAAAGTCCTTTCTCTGAGTGTGGTTTACCAGGGCCTACCCCTGAGAGTCAGTCCTCTGGGAATGCCAGCAATATAAGTTTTTTGACCTATGAAGTTTAATTGCTGTACCTTGTTAGCCCCAGAACACTGCTGCAGACCCTAAGGCCCATGTGTAAGTGTCCCCCAATCACAGGTCTGCTTCTCACCCACTGCCCATATGGCGCACTCGGCCTCTCTGGTAATGCTGGCACTTGTCACATTCGAGCAGCTCTGCGTGCATGCTACACAGTGCCCTGTCCACTTACTCCTCTCACACTCCAGCCTAATCATCCTTCTAGGTGTGCTTCAGCTTGCCTCACGCACAAACCCTCAACTATTCTGACACCTTCACGTCTGTCTCATAGACGACCCCATAATTACAGCACAGCCCACAAAATGTGGTACTTTGTTTTCATTCCCGCTAGCTGAGCTCCTCAACTCAACGATGGATTATGGGGCCTCTGCAAGAGTAGCCAGTGCTCTTAACCAGTGAGCTCCCTGAATGTGACTCCTGCTTCTCCACTTCCTACAATGCTCTGTATGAGGAACAAAACAGAACATAAAGACTTTGTTGGCTGACCTACTGGGCTGCCACAAATAGCCCCAGGTTCTCTGAGTAGCTGTAATAATGTTGAAGGACACAGAACACAAGAGCTGGGACTAGAGGCGAGACCCCATCTCAGGAACCCTTGTGAAACCACTCCCCAGAAAAACAATTCCCCTTGCACCTGAAGGGATTGTGAGACACATCTGGCATGGTGTGTGAACAATAAACTCTTCTGGATATGCTGTCCTGGGAGCCATGGTTTTCGAGCAGCTGCAAACCAACATGTAGGTAGTCAGGAGGCCTCACTGGACATGCAGAATGTGTCGATCCCAACAAAGGTGGGAGCTGCTGACTGCCACCAAGGCCTACCTGACAGAGAGGAGTCTTACCGTGGAGAGGTTCCTGTGTCCTTCCTTGGGCTGGGTAACATTATCCCGACCTACTCCCACATCCAATTTGTTGAGCAGGACCTTCAGCTGTGGCAGAGTAAGGCTGTCATTCTCCCCATAGCGATTCATGAGATCTTCCAGGAAAGAGGTGGCGCTGAGGGGCAGCATGGCAGTAGACGAGGCATGAGTCTGGGCAGCAGTTCTCCAGGTACCAAACAGCACCAACAGGAGGCAGCTGGGAAGGGCTGGGTGTAGGGGCTTCATAGTGACCAAGCACACCTAGAAGAACACAGAGCCAGGTGAGGGCACGATCTCTATCTCCCCCCAGCACTAGAACACCATCTCAGCACCCCGTGCCAAGGACAAGGGTTCTCTTCCCTCAGACTCTGGCTGGGACGAACATCCAAGTGTGACTTAGTCTCCCTCTCTACGTGCTCTGACTTTGGAGAAATCCTCCTTTTGAGGGGGGTAAAATGACAAGGGACATGCTGGGCACTGGGGTACATGCCTCGAGAGCAACACTTAGGAGGATCAGAAGTTCAAGGCCAGTTTCAGCTACACAGTGAGCTTGGGCTATATAGAAACCTGTTCCCCCAAAAGGGTGGAAAGCCTTCTTTCTTCAGGTGTCTGTCCTCCTGTAAGAAACCCCACTAAAACTCAGTGAGTCAAAACTAACACACCCATAACACACACACACACACACACACACACACACACACACACACACACACTGAACGGATACAGGGATTCAGTGGGAAGGAGACAAGAGAGGATACTGGAGAGTAAATAAGGTCAGAATGCATTATATTCCTATATAAAAATGTCATAATGAAAATATTGCGCTAATAAAAATGTATTATTTTATGTGTTTGGGTGTCCTGGCTACATCTATGTTTGTGTATTATGTACATACCTAGGTGTCTCCAGAGACCAAAGGAGGGTATTATATCCCCTGGGACTGGTGTTATGGACAGTTGTGAGCTACACCATATGGGTGCTGGGTCCCATACAAGAGAAGCCAGTGCTCTTAACCACTGAGCTCTTCCTCCAGCCCCTAATAAACAGTTTTAAAGAGAAGAAAAACAGCCCGGCGGTGGTGGTGCAAATCTTTAATCCCAACACCCCAGAGGCAGAGGCAGGTGGATCTCTATGGGTCCGAGGCCAGCCTGATCAACAAAGTGAGTTCCAGGACAGCCAGGGCTACACAGAGAAACCCTGTCACAAAACAAACAAACAAACAAAAAAAAAAAACCAAAAAACAAAAAACCTAGAAAAAAAGAAAATAGAAGAAATGCTTATAATCTCTGTATAACATTGAGAACATATATTTAAAAGCTCAAGCTGAGTGTGGCAGCCTGCACTTACAACCCCAGCTCTCAGGAGGCCAAGGCAGGCAAATTACAAGACTGGGCTACCAGTGAAACTTTATTAAGACAGCACAGTAGATGTTTCCCTAAAGTGCAAAAAAAAAAAAAAAAAAAAAGCCCTGGTTCTATGCCCACAACTGTAAAACACAACACAAAGACCTCATGTTCCAGGGATTAAATTGCAGAATTCAGAATTCATCTTATTTCCAGAATTTACATATTTCAGACTATATCCACACTTCCAGAATTTACTCTATCAATGTAATAATAATAATAAAGCTAGGGACTGGATAGATGGTGCGGTGGTCAAGCATTTGCTGATCTTGCAGGGGATCAGGGCTTGGTCCATAGCGCCAACAGGGCAGCTTGAGCATCTATCTGTAATTCCAGTTCCAGGGTCTCTGGTGCCCTCTTCCGGTTCCCATGGGCTTACAGTCAGTACTTAACATATATGCAAGGAAACATTCATACACATAAAATTAAAATAAAGAACACTTAAAACTCAGAGATCTGCCTGCCTCTGCCTCCCTCCTGAGTGCTGGGACTAAAGGTGTGCACCACCACACACTGGCTATAATATCAAATTTTAAAGCAGAATTATTTCATATGGTTAAAAAAAAAAAACTGAGGAGAACAAAGACAAATGAGAGCTGGTTACAATTTTCCTGTTAATCATTTGCTTCCCTTAGTACAGTTATAACTTAATTAGTGACATCAGCAAACATGAGGAGACACCAGTCCAATAGAATTCTATCACTGTGATGGTCTCCTCCCTGGGGAGGGGGAGCAAAACCAGATGCTTCCCCACGTACTGCTCCACCTCTGTCCAGAGGAACAATGTCTCCACGGCCAAGAAACAGGTCTTCCTGAACCCTGCCCCTGCTGTTTACAATGTGATCATGGGTAAGCTACTTAAGCAGAAACACCACAGATGATCCAGGGCAGCTTACCATAGCTACGGCTTTCATTTCCACACCGTTGCTTACAAGACGAAAGGCACTGGGCAAGTCACACAGACTCAGCTATATCTTCATTTTCTCATCTGTAAAGGTGGTACCCACCTTACACCTCGCTGGATGATAGTCAAAATTTAAGAACCAAAGTGATGGCAAAGTCCTAGCCACCAACTGCCTAACTGAGATACTCAAAATCTGTATTACATAGTGAGACAAAAGGAAAAGGGGGGGGGGGGCGAAGGAAGGAAGGAAGATGACAACTCTTGAAAAAAAGCTAGGGACTGTAGCTCAGCTGTGGGATGTGATCCCTAACACTGGAAAAGAGAAGAGACACTGGAGGATGAGAGAGAGAGAGAGAGAGAAAGAGAAAGAGAGAGAGAGAGAGAGAGAGAGAGAGAGAGAGAGAGAGAAACCAGCTAGACTACAAAACCCGGCTATAATCACTCAAAGACAAGATTGCTTTCCCAACTGACTTTCAGTTCAAACATGAAGCTGTTAATTAAACTGTCATGAGTTTCATTAACTCATGACATTCAACTAAGACTCACAACTCCTGCACCCTGTCAGTCACATAGGCCACAGCACACTTGAAGGTACTCTGGCTTTAGATTCCACACAGGACACAAAAGCTGAGGACAAAAAAAAAAAAAAAAAAAATGTCATTCTCTGACCTCAAGGCCAACCTGCTCTATATAGCAAGTTCCAGGTCAGTCAATACTACACAGTAAGACCCTCTCTGAAATAAGTAAGTACACAAACAAACAAACAAACAAATAATTTTAAGGGTTGTTTTTCGGTGGGATGTACCTTCAGCCATACAACTGGAAGGGGAAAATGGCAGTCTGCAAAATGGTTATTTTTGCAACTCAGCACTCTGGATTCACCACCAAGAACCACGTTAATCTATGCTTTGTGGAATAGATCTTAGGCGAAAATTAGACTAAAACCCACTGTTCAAAAGAACAGTAGCATATACCCATACTCCCAGGATTTGGGAGACCAAAGCAGGAGGATCAAGAGTTGAGTTCAAGGCCAGCCTGGGCTACAAGACACCCTGTCTCAAAAAAGAAAAATGGGGGAAGGAGGGGGAAGTTGGCTATCCAGATGGTAGCTGTGAGCTGTCTATAGTCTTCACTGTCAGCAGAAGGGCTGGATCTAATAAGCACATCTAGTTAAGGAGAGGTGGTAAGCAGCGGTAAGCCTTGTTTCCAAGAGCAGGTGCTGCTATGCCTCTGACATTCACTCACTGTTCTCTTTCAAAGAAGCTGGGAAAGGTATCCCTACTTAACAGATAAGGAAGCTGGGATCTGGAGGCTAGCAAATGAGATCCAGAGGCAGCAAAGTCAGGAACTGAATTTTTCAGGTCTGAATGACATGGGAGCCCTGGCATCCAGTGTGGGCTCCGCATGAAGACAGAGAGTGCGTGCCGGGGATGCCATGGAGAACCACCGAACAAACTCTGTTGCCTCTACACAGAGATCTGCCAGTTTCTGTCAGCCCCAGTGGAGACCCTAAATCCAGGCTGGGGATGCCCTGAAGACCTGGGAGGGGGTGCTATTCATGCCAGGCTGTCTTACAAAGCTTCTGTCATAGACTCCTAGAATACATCACCATTCCTACTTCAAAACACTACTAAAAAGAAAACAAGAGCCCTTCAAATGTGGGTGATTTTACCTTGGCATCTCCAACTGGGTTAGCATTTATGCTGGATAGGTTTTCTGGTAGCCAAGTGGCCCCTTGGACCCTCCCATGGCTTTGAGGGCGCCAGTCATGCTAGAGAACTGGCCCCTTCTGACTGTGCCATAACAAGCCTGTGTTTCTCCAGGAAACCCCTACCCCCTGCCGCATGGCTGCTCCCTTCTCTAGAAAACACTGCTTTGGGCTTTGCAGACAAGACAGTGTCAGGGCTCTGAAGTGGAGGCCAGTCCCTACAGGTGGAAAGATCCAGTGAGCAGTGTTCTGACACCTGGCCAGGCTCTTGAGCTCATCTCACTAAAAGTGAGCCTAAACACAACTGGAGCAGTTAGGAATCCTTGTCTAGAGTTCTAGGAACAGCTGAGAGCACTACAAACTCAAGCAACCCCGGCCTTTTAGTAAGCATAAAAGGCGCTCTCTGCTCCAGCAGAGGTTTGGGTGTGTGTCGTGCCCCCACCCACTTAACTCTAAGTCATTCTCAGGGAAAAAATGTTTATAGAAGACTCTTTGAGACTGTGGGGTGGTGGCGGCATATAATTGCACGCCTTTAATACCAGCACTCAGAGGCAGGCGGATCTCTGTGAGTTTGAGGACAGCCTGGTCTACAGAGTGAGTTCCAGGACAGCCTGAGGGTGGCTATTACATACAGAAATCTCGGGGGTGGGGGGGGGCATAACACACTTTGAAATTAGCCAGGCTCACATTTGTAATCTGGGCACTTGGAAGGCAGAGGCAGGAGGATTGCTCCTGGATCTACACAAATTGAGTTCCAGGCCAGCCAGGGCTACATAGGGTTGCAAGTGTACGAGAGCATGTGTATACACTCTCATTCACAAGCTCAAACGGCACTCGAGTGTGTGCATGTGGGCGAGCGTGTGCACGCACACACACGCGCGTACACACAACGCGCGGACACACACCCCCGCACAAAAAAAGGAGAGAGGAGAGAGAGAGAGAGAGAGAGAGAGAGAGAGAGAGAGAGAGAGAGAGAGAACACACAAACAAACACAACGCAAAAAGCATGTAAATGACAAAGTCCAGGGGAAAAAACACACACAGCTCTTACCAGAGGCCCTCGCTCTGTGGCCTTAGCCCCACGTCTGGCGGTATGGGAGCCACTGCAGTCCTCCCAGGGAGCTGAGCCAGAGGTGCTACGAAGAGTGGGCCAGAGGCAAGTGTGTGGTCACTCAGCCCAGGCCCTGCCCACTAAAGAGCCGCTGGAGTTTTTCCCCTCTGACCACTGGGCTCAGGGTCGAAGTAGGTCATCCTAAAGCCTCAGGTCTGTCTCCAAGCACTAGACCTCAGCCTCAGGGGAACAAAATATATGAAAGGAAGTCGATATGACACTCATCCTAGAACCCTGGAGCACTGTGATGTCCCTCTGCCATCCTCAGGCTCCGAAATTGGAATCTTGCTGACTGTCACCCCCTCGTTGGGTCCAGAAGTACCTACAAATGGCAGTTATGTCTACTCTGGGTTCTGTTTTCCTAGACTTAACCAAGAGAAGGAAAGAAGGAAACACTTACTTTTTCTTTGAGGTAACTAGGTGGTAACTTGCCACGATGTTCAGTCAAGAAGCTGACCACTGAGGAGGAGACAGTAGAAACTTGAAGGAACTTGGAGTGGCCAAGTCTCCCTTCCCTGGTCTCACCAGCCAGGAGATCCACTACTCTGTACCCAGACTTCCTGGAGCACAGACATAAAACACAGACACACTCACACAGGCTCCAATGCAAACTTGGCCAAGGCATGAGTGTTTCTGAGGCCACCGAGGTATGTGTACTTATGACCCTTCCCCTCCCTTGTCACATGGAGTACTTCCTAGGTGGCCAAGCTGAATTTCAACCTCATCTAATCTTGTTTATCTTTGAGGGCAGGATGCCTGAAGGGCCAGAAGTTCCATTTCAGGTGGGCTAGCCAGAACTGGTTGGTTCTAAGATGGCTGCCAGAGTGACCTCCTAACAGCCGATATCACTACAATCCCAAGTGTTTACCAAATGATACACCTTCCAGTTGCCTTAACCATGACTGGAAAGCACACAGATCTTCTACTGCAGCCCCGATTGTGACAACCCAAATGATGAACAAAACTAGGCCATTTCTCACTGAGGTCTCCAAACCCGGCAAGAGACAAACTGCTGCCAATTCTCAGTCCTCTCCAATTGAGGATTATGGGAAAAGCTCCTGGAGGGATAGAGGGAGAAACTGGGACAAGGATAGCTGCCTCTCTCTGGTAGAAGGGCTCCATTATACACACTGACCTGGAGATATTTCCCAGTTCCAGGAAGACTCCTTCTCCTTCCAATAGAAATGGGAGTACTCTACCAAAACTGTAGACTAAACCATGTCTGCACTACAGGGAACAATCACAAAAATCCCAAAGCAGAGGAAAGCCCCACCTCCCCTGCCTCACATCCATTCTCCAGACTGACTCGTAGAACAGATCTGAACACCCTCTGTATGCCTGTGGGAAGTGGGGAACAAATAGCCACACCTGGTGGGAAGGGAGCCATTTTTCTACTTGAGGGACAACAGAACATCAGGCAGACACAGGCGGAGCCAAGCAGATTAGCACAGGATTCAAGGAAGACACTTCTGACTGTTGCCAGAACAGTGAGCCCACCAGACAACAAACATTACTTGCGAAGGAGACTGAGGCAGGAGAGCCATGAGTTTGGCCCAGCCTGGTCTCAATAGTTAAAATTCTACCTTAAAGGAAGGAAGGAAGGAAGGAAGGAAGGAAGGAAGGAAGGAAAAAGAACAAATCATAAAACAGGGCCTGGGCAGATAACCCAGTCTCCAGCACTCATGTAAAAGCCAGCTATGTGTGCTTGTAATTTCAGCACTGGGTCAGAGGATCCCAGGGCTTGCTGGCCAGCTAGGTAAGCTCCAGATTCAAAGGAAAACCCTTCCTCAAAAAATAATGCAAAGAACAATTAAGGAAGATGCCCAACCCTGACCTCTGGGCTCCATAGACACCCCTACCCATGCATGCACACACCCAGACATGTGCACAAATATACATGACACACTCATGCAGAATGAACATAAAGATAAAGACACACAACCAAAGGGAGGGCAGGAAAAGAGGAATCAAACGGTACCCCTGAGCCACTAACAGACTATGGTCGTCAGAAAACCAAATCTGCCAGTTACTCGGACCAGAAATACCAACAAAGGAAGCTTGAGAAAGCTACTCTAAATGGCCGAAAAACAGCCATGAAATTAAGCTGTAGCAGACAAAGACGTGCAACACAAAATTTCCCTAAAAAGAGGGAAAATGCCACCTGAAGATTGAAATAACCCACTGCACTCCAAAAACGTTCAAAACAGAGACAGACACTGCCTCATTCAGATAGAGAACTAAGAGACAAGACAAGATGTTTCCAGGATTCATAGGCTTTAAAAACAAAAAGGCTTTGGGGCTGGAACAGTGTTTCAGGGGTTAGAAGCACTGATGCTCTTGCAGAGGACAGGAGTTAGGTTCCCAGCATCCACAGGACAGCTCACAATCATCTGTAACTCCAGTTCCAGAGAATCCAACACCCTCTTCTGGCCTCCACACACATAATGCACACATAAGTTCACACAGGCAAACACACATACACATAAACTTTTAAATAAGGTGGGTCAGAGTGTCTGTGTGTGTGTGTGGGGGGGTGGGGGTAGCCCAGGCAGATTCGGAATTCATGGTCCTTCTGCCTTGCCTCCCAAGAGTAGGTGTACAGACGGATACTACCATGCTAGAGTTGAATATTTTTTTTTATGAGGGAGTTAATTCAGACTACTTTCATCTTCCCTACAGCAATATTCAGCATCAGAAGATAAACAGGAATGTCCGAACTATGACAGAAAAGCTCAGAGGTGCACACCTCTAATCCCAGCACTAAGGAAGCAGAAGCAGGAAAATCAGGAGTTCAAGGCTATCCTTGACTACATAGTGTGTTTGAGGCCAGTCTGGGCTACATGACCCTTTCTGGAGCAAAAAAAACAAACCAAACCAAAACATTATTCCTTGTTGAGACTTGAAGCCCAGGCTTGTAATCACAACTACTTAGGAGACTGAGGCAGGAGGATTATGAATTCAAGGCAAGCCCATGGGTCACAAAGTTGGTCCAAGGCTTACAAAGTATGTTTAAGACTGATTTAGTCAACCTATTTTGAAATTTAAAAAAAAGGGGGGGGTGGAAATAGAATTTGGCAGTAAACTGCTTGCCTTAGCAAGTGTGAGATCCTAGGTTCAACTCCTAGAACTTTAAAAAATTTTAAAAAAGTATTATCCCTTGCCAGGATCTCATTAAGCTAACAGGCAGAGATTCCCAAGCATGGAATTTCTTCCCTTGCCCCCCACCTCTCATACACACATAGAGAGAGAAAGAGACAGTGTGTGTGTGTGTGTGTGTGTGTGTGTGTGTGTGTGTGTGTGTGTGTGTGTGTGCGCGCGCGCGCGTGCGTGCTGGGGGGAGGTGCAAAGAAGAAATAAAAAGTTCAGGGAGTAAGCAAGCCTGCAAAAGTGCTGGCCTATAAGTCTGGTATGATGACCTGAGTTCAACTCCCAGAACTTATGTAAAAAAGTTGATTGTTGGGGCTAGAGAGATAGCTTAAGTTAAGGGCACTTGTTACTCCTACAGAAGACCTGTGGGTTCTATTCCCAATACCCACATAGTGGCTCACAATCATCTGTAACTCCAGTTCTTGGGCTCTGTGCCATCCTTGAGCTGACACAGGCACCACGTAGTACACATACATACAGGCAAAACACTCATAAAATAAGAATAAATCTCAAAAAAAAATGTTTTTGAAAGAAGTTTGATTTTAGTGGGGCCCACCTGTAATTCCAGCACTCATATATCAAGAGAGGCTGAGATAAGAGAACCACCCAGCATCTCATGGGCCAGCTAGCCTGGAGCACCCAATATACAGACCCAGGAGTCCCTGCCACAAAACAGATAGAAAGAAAAATCTGCCTTCTGACTTCCACAAATGAGCTGTGGCACACATTCACATACATACAAAAATAATAAAATTAGATTTTTTAAAAAGGGGATGCTTACAAAGACAGAAACCAGGGGTAGAAGAAATCCTTAAAAATAAAAAATCCAATAATGTAATAGCATCATCAGGGTGTGGGGGAAAGGGTATGGGGACAGTGTAAGAAGGCAAATGTCCTCCTTTGAAACAGAGCAAGAGTCAATAGGCACTGTCTAAAATGAAAACAAGTAATTACAGATGACTCATAAGCAATTAACTCTGCTGAGAGAAAATTCTCTCTTGCAAGTAACATATTTCTTTAAAATGTAATAATTCCCTTTAGTTTACTGCAGTTTCTTTTTCTTCTGTTGCAGTCAAAGAGATACGAAGTTTTCCATGCGAGTGTTTATATCTATTTCTCAATATCCACTTGTGTATGACTATGCCTGGAAGAATATTTGGAATATTGATCATGCATATTCTTTTTTGTTTGTTTGTTGGAGACAGGGTTCCTCTACATAGCCCTGGCTGTCCTTGAACTTGCAGAGATCAGCCTACCTGTGCCTCCCAAGTGCTGGGGCTAGAAGCCAGCACCACCATGGCCCAGCAAGAGGATGGATTCTCTGAGGCCTGGAGTTGATTTGGTTTTGCTTTGTTCTGCTTCAGCCTATTGATCTACCCCAGGCAGGGAAGTGCGAATGCAGCAATGTGAGAAAAGGCAGGAGCATCACCAGGGGGCAGAGGCTGGTTTCCTCCTTTCCTTTGAAACAGGGTCTCATGTAGCCTAAGTAGCCCTCAATTTGATATATCGCTGAAGCTGATCTTGAACTCCTGATATTTCTTTCTGCCTGAATGCTGGGATTCTCAGAGTCACGTGGACTTAAGCAGTGCCGGGGATCAACCTAGGGCTCTGAGCATAGTAAAGCAAGCTACATCCAGTCCAAACTTCCCAAGTACAGCATAAAACAGAGCCCTACAGAAACACTTGCTGACACCTCTGATTACAGTGTTCTTCTACAAACACTTCACTTTAATGTCCTCCATATTTATGACCAAACTAACAATGACACAGCCACCTGGGAAAGTCTCAGTATACAAAATTAGAAAGCTAGCAATTATTCTTTTTTCCATTTCCCTTTATGGAGCCAAGGGCCTCACATAACGCCAGGCAAATGCTCTAGCCACCGACAGTCTACAGCCTCAGCCCAAGCAGAGCCTTGCAGCCCTACAGTAAGGTAAATACTGTCTCTGGAGTTCAGAGAGCTTCAAGGAAAACTATGGTGGCGCAGCTCTTTGATCCCAGACACTCAAGTGACCCGAGGCAGGAGGGTCTTAAGTTCAGGAGTAAGTTCAAAGACGGCCTAAGCAACTCAGTGGGACCTTGTTATAAGACACGGGTGAAGTGTACATGCCTGCAATTCCAAGCATTTGGGAGGCAGAGGCAGGAAGGTCAGGAATTTAGGGCCAGCTCTAATCACATCCTATATGGAGGCTAAACTTGGGCTACAAGAGGTCCTGTCTCACCTCCACTTCCCCCAAAACAGACACCCACTCCACCCCCAAAAAAGACTAAAAATGTCCTAGGATTGATCTCCCTTCCCCAGTACCACAAAAAAGGAAAGGGGAAGGGGTGGTGGTAACTGAGGTGATACACACCTGTAATCCCAGCCGTCAGCAAACAAGCAGGGGGATTGCTTCGAATTCAAGGGCAGCCTAGGCAACGAAGGGAGATCCTGTGAAACAGAAGTAAAAAAGAAGTAAACCATCCTGTCTCGGTCCCTATCCATTCACTGAATGAGCATGGTCCAGAGGCCATACACGCCCAGGACAAGCTGTCCTAGGAAAGAGGTGATGAACAGTAAAGCTTGAATATAGCCTTACCACCCAGTCCAGGTATTCAATGGCTGTACTATTCCATTCCCTCCAACCCAACCACTTCACAGTGGTTCCTTCCTTAGTTCCTGTTCCAGGACCTGAACCCCAAGCTACCCCATGCCAAAGACCACCCAGGGTGGGAGACTTCCACACAGTACAAGAGGGGCAGGGGCCCATTCATTCACCCCAAGAAACATCAGGCTGCTAAAAGGGGAAGGATGAAAGAAAGAAAGAAAAAAAAAGTCAATGATAACCCAGAAGCAGGAAATAAAGGTCAATGGTAACCCAGAAGCAGGGAACAAAATCAGAACCAGTAGCCTGGGGCTCACCACGAAAATATCTGCTGATCTCCCCTTGTGTGTGTGAGCACAGTAGAGAGGGGTTATACGGCTGGAGATCGGAGATCAGGGCCTGGAGCAGCCGGCATGGGCTAGAACAGGAGGGCGTATTTAGCCCTGAGCTGAGCCTGGAATGAGCTTAATGACAGCCAAGCCCAGTGGTGGAGCCAGGACAGGGGAGGGAAAAGCACACGTCAGGGCTCAGGGGCAGCCAGAAACCTGGGTCTAACAAAGCCAGAATTTCCAAAATTTCTTCAGGCAGGGGGAGACAGGGAAGGAGCCCAGGGGAGCCAGCCACCGCTTCCCGCCAAAGCCTGGGGGAAAGTTGCTCCTAATTCCATCACCAATTCCCAGACATCTGATTGCAAAAGTGTGGCCTGTTGTTCACTACTGTTTGCCAGACCACAGTGTCCCACATGTGGCCTAAGTAACAGCGGTGCTGACTGAATCTATTACCTGCTTAAGCAAAGGCTTCCGGCTTGTTATTCAGGGTCAAATAAGAAGCAAAGCTTAGTAACTAAATCAGAAAGGTTTCTTCTCACAAATATCTCAATTACTGCCTCTTCCAGGGGGTCATGTCCCACTCTTAGCTCTCCAACTATTTTAGATACTGTATTTCTTGGTCTTCCAACAAGCCTGGTTAACTAGATTTTTGTTCCTTAAAGGCAAAGAGGGTCGTCTAGTATCCCTTTGTCAACATGAGCCTGATGAGCCTGGCACGGTGCTGGGCACACAAAGGCTAGACACAGAGAATTTCTGATCAAAGATGAGAAATTTAAACTCCGGCTTACCAATGTCTACAAGGTCCCTACAACCCAACACCCCCTTCTACAGACATTCTGTGTCCCTAGATGTCCCCACAGATCACATGAAGTCAGCTGTCAGGACCATCTGTTGTTCGTTCCTTTAAACCATTCTCTTATCATAAACACATACACACAAATGTACAAACACATTTGTTTTGTCTTTCATTTTTCATAATGGATTTTGCTATGTTATGAAACCCTAGCAGTTCTGGTACTTAGCATGCAGCCAGGCTAGACTTGAACTCATGGCAATCCTCTTGCCTCATCCTACTAAGTGCTAGGATTGTGGGTAGGCACCATCACATTGGGTACTTCACATACATTAAATAAACTAAGAACTAGTTTATATTTACCAAACCTAAAACAGTTCCAGCCCAGCATACACCAGTTCTCAAAAGAAGAAAAATAAGGAGTTCAAGCCTGACTTCAGTTATACAGCAAGTCCGGCATGTGAGATTATCTCAATAAATAAATAAATAGATAAATAAATAAATAGCAAAGAAAACAAAAACCTACCTTATCCCAAGAGTTCATTCATTCAAGAAATGGTTACTTCCTGCCATTGACCAAGAATGTGAGTCCCTGAGATGCAAATGACAGCAGGTACCTTCCCTCACACAACAGGGAAGGTAAGTCCTGGACACAAAACTTAGCAGGATGACAAAGCCAAGGATAATGGGCAGCTCAAAGGTTACCTGATCAAACCCAGCCAAGAGAGATTCCACACAGGCTATTAAACGGCCCTGACACTCATCAGAACAGATGAACAACCGGGCTCTAAGCTGAGCTCCCAGGGCCTACTCCTGAGATCGTGTTGCTGAATTATGTTGCAAGGGGCTGCTACTCAGGCATCTGGTAGCTATGGCATTGAGATATCCCTGTCAGGGAACCATTCCAGCGAAACAGATGTCTTCTAGTCTATCCTAAGGAAGAGAAGACCCAGCCTCTTCTTACAAAACGATTACATATGTGATGAGCACATCTAACTGGCAGAGCCTGAGTCACACCGGGAATTTGAGTAGCACAGGATATCTGAGTAGAGTCTGGTTTTGTTTTCTTATGCAATGCTAAGGCCCTAACCTAGAGCTCCATGCATGTTAGCACTTTACCAGTGACCTACACTCCCAGGGCATGAATTGGTTTGGTTTTGTTTTCGAGACAGATTTTCCCCGTGTAACAGCTCTGGCTGTCCTGGAACTCACTTTGTAGACCAGGCTGGACTCAAATTCAAAAAGATCCGCCTGCCTCTATCTCCCGAGTGCTGGGATTAAAGGCGTGTGCCACCACCACCCAGCCGTGTATTTGTTTGTTTGGTTTTTTTTATTTTATGTGTTTGCCCGAATGTTTGTCTGTGTACTGTGTGCATGCGGTGCTTGCTGAGGCCAGATGAGGACATCCAATCCTCTGGGACTGGAGTTACAGATTGGCTGTGAGCCACCATGTGGGTGCTATGAATGGAACCCAGGACCTCTGAAAGGACAGCTAGTGCTGTTAACCACTGAGGCATCTCTCCAACCACAGAATGTGTGATTTTTTTTTTTTTTATTATTCTCTACCCTTAGTAGGCTGAGCCATCATTTATTTTCCAAAGTAAGTACATTATGGACAGAACAGGACAGTAGGAATAAACTACCAGTTAGGTTAACACAGCATCTAAGGAACAAGTTATTGTATACCCCCCACCACAGACAATTGATGGAAAACATAACAGAAAATCACCCTGGTGCCAGAGGCCAGGAGGGCTCCCCTGAAGGAAAGTTCAGCACCCCAGAGCATGTAGAGCATGTTGGGGAGGGGTTAGAACAGTTTATGAAGCTGTAGCCATTCTTAGGGACTCAGTGAAGATGGTGCATCTAGAACTTGAAGTCCCCATGGCTAGATACGCAATAGGTCACGCGGGGAGAGAATTACAGGCTATTAACATGGGCCTTGAAGGAGTCAAGGAAACATCCGGTTTAGTTGTGGTGGGAATCAAACTCAGTCTCAAGCATGCTAGGCAAGTGTTCTGCCATTGAGCTATACCGTTCTTCATTCCTTCCTTTCCTCCTTCCTTCCTTCCTTCCTTCCTTCCTTCCTTCCTTCCTTCCTTTGATTTGTTTATTTGCAGTCTCTGGCTGGGATCTCACTACGTAGTCTAGGCTAGCCTAGAATTCCTGTCAACCCTCCTGCCTCAACCACCAAAGAGCTGGGAGCATGGGCATGAGCTATTAGGGCTGGCATTCAAGTGTTTTTACTATATCTGCCTGGGTGCATCATGGAGAGTAGGCAGGAGGCAGACAGAAGAGGAGCAGGAGATTAAACAATGGGCTCTCTCACAGACGTCCAGGTGAAAACAGAACCACTTTGGTCTAACGGACAAAAGTTCTTTGTGTTGGCTTCAGAACTCAGAATTCTGCAAATAGAGTTAGAAAAGAGACCACCCCCAAATTCAGGCTAAGACAAGTTAGCTCAACCATCCTGCTGCAACAGGTAGGCAATTTAAGAAACATGCACTCAGGGTCTGCAGTAAAACATACCCCCAAGGGCCTTTGGCTGCACTGCTTGGTGAATGGCCAAGACTACCTGCCCGAGCACCCCTGCCCCCAAGCCCCTCCATTCTTGCAAGCCAGATCAAGCCCAGATCTTCCTCAAAGGCTCTGGCTGGCCAGTCTCCATAGCTGGGACAGCCTGGCATCCCATCATTAGCTGAGGGAATGTGTTTTTAAGTGTATGATCTTCACCTGAGAACCTGCTGGAAGGGTGAATTCTCAGCACATACAGGCAAACTGGAAACTCGGTTGGCCCAGCAGTGTGGGTTTTCCTTGGGGCTCTGGCAATGTTCCTGGACTCTAAAGCCCCAGGCTTGCCACTCCACTTCCATGAAAACCAAAGGGGCAATAAGAAGGACACATGGCCCTTCCCACCCAGCATCCAACCTTCCTGACCGGTCACTGCTTGCTCAAGCACCTGGACACCCTGTGTTCATGAGAAAGAGGGCTACTGAAGAAAGTAAAGAAAAATACTTACTTCCAAACTGGGGAAGAAGGCAGCAGAGAGAGACAGAAATGACATCCACTGACCCTAAATTTTCTCCCACCTACCCAGTCTCTTACATAGCACACTCTCTGGCCAAGGTCATGGCCTGCCAGCGAGTCACTGATTACTAAGCTGTAAGGCCTTCCCACATCCTCTGCTTCCTCACTGCATGACCACAAACCAGAGCATCTTGCTTCCTAAAATCCCAGGCACCAAACAGAAACCAATCCACCTACTGCCGCTCACTCCAGCCGCTTGGACCCTCCTTCTTCACTTCCCTGCACTTGTCTGTCTGGTAGTCAGGGTTCTCTCCCTTTAGGATCCAGCCTACCTTCTACCTACCTTCATCTGCTATTATTCTTTCCTGGTCTCTGGTCTCCAAGCAGAAAAAAGTGTATGCTCGCCCTACCTATCCACAAGATGAGGAGGAATGAGGGGGTCTTGTAGAAATTCTGTCTCTACTCTATTCCAGTCCTCCCCAGCACGGCCTCATCTCAGCCAGACCCAGTCTCACCTTCTTCTTTGTCTCAATGTCATGGCACTTAGAACAACAGGCTTATACTTCATGTTAACTGCCTTGGCTATTTCTTTTTTCTTTTTTCTCTTTTTGGTTTTTCAAGACAGGGTTTCTCTATGTAGCTTTGGAGCTTATCCTGGCACTCGCTCTGGAGACCAGGTTGGCCTCAAACTCACAGAGAT